ATGGGAGAAGTAGTAGTATAGTATAGGAGGGGCATGATTGTTATTTGTTGGTGGTCTTTGAAATATATTCCCACACAGATTTAGGTGGGGCAATGACTTTACATTTCCACAGAAATTTTCTTGGCGCCCTTTAAATTTATTTTTTCCCGAGAAAGTGAGGGAAAGTTGAAAGAAAAGGGTGAGAATTAGGTCTTGTCATGTTAGGGAAAGTGGGTGCATTTTGTGCAGAAAAAAAAGTGGCTTTGGCTTTGGCTTTGGATGGTAAATGGATGCCAGTCCCATTGATGCCATGCCACTGCTAACATTCCTTTTTCTTCCCCTTTCTTTCTTTTCCTTACACACTCAACTTATTCTTTTTGTTTCACAGAAATTATTTTTCATTTCCTTACAACTACAATACAATCTCCCTTGATTGATTTAATTCTCTTTGTTCTGCCCTATCATGTCCTCACCAATAATTCAAACTAATAACACACCCCATCCCCATTCCCTTCTTTCAACAGTTTTCTCATAATTATTGATGCCCATTCTTGCACTCTCCCAAAAAAAAAAAAAAAAATTTACAAAATTGTACAACATTTTAGTAGGAGCAGACCAGAAAAGTTTCAGACCATCATCTGTTTTTCCTCTCCTTGCTAGAGTAATAAGATTAGATTTTAGTGCTCTGAAAATCTCATTTTAGTCTTTTAATATTTCTATTTTATATATCCTTTACAAAGCTACATGGGGTAACCAAATACTTAAGAAGATAAGATATTCGCTAGTATTATATGCATATGGAGAGCATTCTTGAACCCAAATTTCGACTCTAGAGTCTTTAAACTTGACAAAATAACTTATCTAGATATGTTCAAAATGTCTTTGTCTTTTCTAAAATAATTATTTGTTATTTTATCATCTAGTACCAGTCAACTCAATATTTGCTCTATTTAACTTATGTGACTCGAATACATGTCCACATCGACACTCGAACACAAATTCTCAAAACCATGATATTTCATTTGTTAAAAGGCAAAGCTAAACATTTTTTATATTAAAAATATAAATAAGACGAAGAGGTTCCTAATTTTATTTTGGGAGGTGGGGGGTGAAGAATATTGTGTACTGAAATTGGAATACAAAAAGTTGGGGCAAAGTATTATATGGAAATTTCAACGGCGGCCAATCATGAGGGAGATTCTTACAATGTCTGAAATAACATAACAAAGGGCATCGCAATCCCCACGTGTCATTATCTCCTTCATCATTCACTACATCCATAAAATGTTCTCCTTTTCAATTTCACCTTTTGACTTACACTTGTATTTTTTTTGGTGGATAATATATATCTCAATGTTGACATTATCTTTAAAAAGTTAAATATATGTTTTAGTTATTTTCATTTGTTCCATATTTTCAATTCCAACCTGATCTTTTGATTTGGGTACATATCTTAATTAGTTTGGACAGCATCAAATTGACTATTAAATTATTTTCAATTAAATCTTTATAATCACTAAATTTTAAAAGAATGCGGATTAGTAATTTTATGAGTTTGACGATTGTTAGTGTACAACCATTGTAATGTCTAAATTTTCTATAATAATGAACAATATTGAGTAAAAAAAAAGTCAAAGTAAGCTCAAGTGATATAAGATGAGTGAATTTTTAATTTTCTTAAACGAGTACTATGTCTATTTTCTCAAATTAAAACATATAGTATGTTTTACTCAATTAATAAAGTGTACTAAGTTGATATTACATCACCACTTTTTCTATTGATTTAATGTTTAGTGATAACAAAATTTAACTGAAAAGTTACTAATACATCACGTTGAAACTTTTAAAAGATTATAAACAAAATTGAAAAAACACCAAAATATTAAGGACCAAAACATGTCTTTAACCTAAAATATACTCACAATTTCTTTATCTTTTATTCTGGTTTTACTCATCCAAGGTATAGAAGTGACATATAATTATGCTAATCGTATTAAATAAATCGTTGTGGGAGAGAGATTAGAATACCGTTCTAAATTCTTTTTATATAAGTTGGAATCAAGGTTACCATAATTCTCAGAAGTATGATTATTATTCTTTTTTTTTTCAATATAAAAGTTATGACTATCATTCAAAATAATAAAAAATTTTGTTCAAGTGTTCTTTCTGTATCATTGATATTTTAAAAGTTTCAATTTATTTTAACATTTTTAATTATACCCTTTATATTGATCAATCTGCTAATAATAAGTTTACATTTTTAACTATTCTCTTTATATAGACAAGGAGCACAAATTTAAATGACGAATTAGGTCATTAAAAGAAATATTTTTATAGTTTGTTCTCCAAATTTCTAAGAAATTAGTATAAATTTAGAGGTTTATTCTGCTGATGACATTTTTCTCTTCTAATTTCCACCTAATCACTTAGTATATGTCATGTAAGTCTATCATAAACCC